CATTCTTATCATTACACTAAGCCTTTTTTATGTATATTTATATATCCATTGTATATTACAATCCTTAGAAAAGTATTTATTAAATTTATTATTATTATTAAATGTTCGAAATATATTTATATTTCAATAAATTATTATTATTATTCTTCAGAATAACTTCAAAAACTTTATATAGAAGTATACTGATATTACAAATATATTATATTAAATATTCTCGTTTATGCATAGCCGTACGATTTTGAACAGCGAGCAGCAGCAGACCAGTATATTACGTATTACAACATCAACCGAGTAAACAACGACGTGAATTCACACCGCTGACCGAGGATGGACAATGTCGAACATCGATGATCATGTAATGATTTATGTTTCTTCCCGCGAAACATGTTTTAACAACGGAGCTCGGCCACAAGGAATGCCTAAGATGGAAATCAATGAAGCGGCGATTGTTGCTCGATCTAATCACCGGCTCAAGGCCGAGCGTCGTCTCTTTTATTTGCAACAAGTATCGCAATGCATCGCGACTCTGCGAGACCGCAATTGATCTCGATGTTATCCGAAGGTTTTATGCTCGACAGAAGAAGTCGTTTAATCAATCGAACAAACGGACTCGCATATCCATATTTTCCTTTCGCTTTCCAACGGCGAGGACGTGACGAGGTATTCGATAATGACGGCAATGATATTTATACGACTCCGTAAATGCCAGTGCACCAGTGACGGAAATGATTGAAAAGTCGGGCAATAACTTTTCATTTGTCAAATACTGAATATAGAAGAAACGTTTATTATCAGAATTTCAAATATTCGAAACGACGATTATTATCCGAATTCGAATTCTCCGAAATGACGACTTTTCGAATTTCAATCATTAGAAATACGATTTGTCGAATTCCAATTATTCGAAATGCCAATTAGTCGAATTTCAATTAAGTAAAACGTCGTTTGTCCGAATTTCAGTTACCTGAATTTCAATTGAGCGAAATGTCGATTATCCAAATTTTAATAATCTCGAATTTCAATCACCCGAATTTCAATATTCGAAATGTCGATTTTCCGAATTTCAATTTCAAGTGTATGAAACGTCGATTATCCAAATTTCCATTATTTGAATTTCAATGATCCAAATTTGAATTCTCCGAAGCGTTGACTATCCGAATTTCAATTATCCAAAACGTTGGTTATCGAAATTTCAATTGTCCACATGAATACTTAATTGTGTACAGAACGAATCGTCCATAGTGTATAGGTCATAAATGGTATATCATAAGCGCTGTAAAGCAAGGTTACCAAGATGTCAATATTCTAGGAAATATTTCATGTTATTGCTTGCAATAGCGAACTTTGAGTCATCGCGTCAAGTATACAATTCTTAATATGATACTTTATCGCGGTTGTCGTCAGGACTTTTATGTACCAAAAATAAAGTGTCTTCTAAATTATTGAGCTTCTAACGATTTTTCTCTACACGCTTATGCCACCGATTGTAACTTTTGTGTGAAATGTGGAAGGTGCAGTTCCGTTTGAAAGAAGGCATCATTACGTAAATGGATCGATGTGAAGTGAACATAAAACGAGGAAAATTGTTGGACAATAATTAAATTTTCTGGAATGGAATTTTTCGATTTTTATGTACAATGGAATTTGAGGAGAAAATATGTGCAATAAATATTACGTAAAAAACATGAAATTTATTGACTTCGATTTTTAATAAAATGAATTATAAATAATAAAATGACATATTGTAAATTGTAATTGATTAATTGTAAAT